GGGGGGGATAAGAACCTGGGCAGAGAGAGCGACCGGGCATGAGACAGGGCGGGGGAAAAAAGAGGGAGAATATTCAGACGCTGACCGGAAACACCAACGAAACCTTTCTCCTGTGATGTTTTCCCTTCTTATCATAGTTCCTTCATCTCCCCTTTTAACTTTTCTTCCTCACTGCCTCCTTTCCATTTCAAGGCGGCTACGGTGCTCTGACTGTCAATACTGTTTAGTGTCAGCGCCTCTCTCTCTCCCACTTCCCTCCTCAAACGTTATGTCAACTTTCTCTGCGGCTCCTGTCCTTCCATATCATAATAATCCCCCCATCTTGCAATCTCTCCTTTGCTTCCAACATCTATTTACATGAATAAATAAATATGTGTGTCAATAAAAGAGCTCTCTGTGAGCTGGGACAGCCTAATTATTATATATTTTTTGTCATCAGCATCGAGCGGATTCAAGGGAAAGGTTTCTTTGGTTTCGCAATACTTCAGGTACGGCCATCTGCTCTCAACAGTTACAACCAAAGACACATTCACTGAGACAATAAGCATGCATACGGAGGGGTCGGCCTCCTCTCACCTCTCTGCACCAGCATGGTGACCTCGCTGCCTTTGGGACACTTGCTGAGCAGGTCGACCACCTGGTTGTGCGACATGCTCTGCACGTTTCTCTTGTTCACCTCCACGATAATGTCGCCCTCCTTGAGGCCGCGGCAGCGCGGGTAGTCCACGATCTGCTTCACTCTCTGCCCTCCGCCGCCGGGGCTGTCGGCGATGGTGAAGCCGAAGCCCTTGTCTCCTTTCTCCATGTGCACGGTGATGAGCTCCGGTTGCGTCGCGATGGACGAGGCCAGGGTGACCACATCGCTGGGGTAGCCGTGCTGGGAGGAGGTGTCAGCCTCCACCGAGGGGCTGTGGGACCGGGGGAGGCCGTTGAGGGGCGCCCCCCCGTTGGTCGAGCCGATGTTGTTGTTGTGACTGCCGTGGCTGGACGGCGAGTCGTAGCTGTGGGAGCCCGCCTGGCCGTTGACGATGATCGGGTCTTTGCTGTCGGTGATGGCCACCGAGGTAACCAGGCTCGTGTTGGGGTCATCGGGGTCAAAGGGCAGCGGATAGCCGCGGCACAGCTCCAAGTTCACCATGGAGCCGATTGGGATGGACTGGAAGATCTTCACAACTTGGGCATGGGTGTAGCCCAGCACGCATGTGTCGTTGACGTTAATGATCACGTCCCCTTAAAAGGTGGAGAAGAGGGAGAAGTTTTATTCTGAATGTCTGGAATGCATCTGTTAAAGCTCTTTTATTTGACACAAAGTTTTAGCCTCCTTACTTATAACCACATTGGGTAAACCAACCTGTCTCCATTTTGCCATCGAGGGCGGCCGGTCCATCCAGGACCAGGCTCTTGATCTGCAGGAACTCGTCTGGCTCGTCGCCTCCCACGACAGTGAAACCGAACCCCCGGCGACTCTTTTTCAGCTTGGTATTGATAAAAGTCCCCTTCAGCTCGGATCGGTTCCGGGTAAAGAAAGGCTTCCCTCCTGAACACACAAACGCAGTCAATTACATTTATGCCTTTCTGATACACCGATGTAATGATGCCAAACTGAAAGAAGCAGCTTTGGGTTCACTGAAACTGTTCTTTATCTTGTGAAATGTGGTGAAAAGGCTTTGGCTTATTGGCATAAAAAAAAAAAACATACAAATAACCTTTACTCTCAGTGATCAGTGCAACTGCGTAACATGAGTGTAACGGCTATCGACTATGTGTTCTGGTCCGATGACATAACATGAATCAAAACAGACTGATTAGAACAAATAGACAAGTGAGAGATGGCATGTGGTAGAAAATGGGGGGAAATAACCAAATGAAGGTCACATGATACGAGAGAGGGCTCTGCCTCCGTGAACGGCTCTTATCATTCAACACTGGTTGTGAGGGTTTAATTAACACAGAGATATCCACGATACACATCTCACGTCTTGAGAACAATCTAAACCCAAATTACTCATTCATCCCTTCTCTACCTCATTATCTGGCATTAAGGACACAATGAAGCGAGATAGGAGATGGGATCAGTCTAAATCAAAAGCTCGAGTGAGGTATTCATCCAACCGCCTTCACTGTCGAGAATGTGAGGAACAACAGCTGAACACAAGGACCGGCTGAGCTCTCACCGTTTATTAATTGACATGTGAGCCACATGCCACAGAAGATGACTTCACGCGCTTCACAAACATGAATATGATGTGAGATGTTGCCAAAGACGAAGGAAAGAATGAAAGCGCGTACAATACAGAGAAGGGATCACAGAGGAATGTGTGCTTAGTGACCAGCAGCACCTCATTAACTTGTGCTAGTGCTACAGTTTATGCATTCAATGAAAAATGCATTACCCTTGGAGTCAGTAAGTGTCCCTGTTTGTGTTTTTTGCAGGTTGTGTGTGCACTGCCTAGTTTGAAGATCTTTTTTTTTTGTCATTTTCGCCTTTATTTGACAGCGTAAAAATTAGGGGGGGGGTATGAAATGCAACAAAGGTTCCAAGGATGTTTTTGGTTATATGGCATGCGCTGCAACCACTCAGCTACCAAGGCGCTCCATGAAAAGCATTTTTCAGAACTGGAGAGATGTAACAAAACTGTGAAGATAGACGGCGGCTTTATCCCACAAGGGATCCAGAGATGTGAGAGCAAACCAGGAAGCAGGAGCAATATGAAAAGCAAGGAGATGGAAACAAGAGATTTCAAATGACGCCTTTCTCCAGAGGAATGTCAAGGCCACGGACAGCCCAGAGTTGGGAGAGACAGAGGGTGGGACCGAAAGAGAGAAAGATAGACAGAACCAACAATTGAATGGAAGCAGAGAGTGAGCGAGCGGGCGGGGATGTGAGCTATAACATAAAGAGATTGATGAGGGGAAAAAGGCAAAGGCGTCCCGCAGAGCGGCAAAGGGAGAGTGAGAGACGGGGTGAGGCAGTTAATTCTCTGCCATGGCTGCGCTAATTAGACACGCTGCTAGTGGGAGGCTGGCATAAGAAGGAGCTGGCAACACACAGTAACGGCTAGACACTGTGTCTGAAGGTGTTTGTTTCAGTAAATGGTGGGTGAAATCAGGCCATTATTTCAAGGGAGCATCATAAAAGAGGCTCCATGTAAATCAACATGTGGCAGCAGTGAAGACAGAAGCAGAAATAAAACTGTCCCTCGCAGAGTTTGTCGGTTAAGAAAATACAAACACTGCTCTCTTGTAAAAATGTAGTCTAATGTACGTACCGGATGAGTAGAGTTAATATTAAGACTATATGATGAAATGTATACAGAGTGCAGTCAATACATAACTGCTCCTCCTTCATGAAAACTCAAACACAGCCTGAGTCAGCGGCTGAGGAAAACAAACTACACTGCGCGATCTGAATTTGGTTTAAGTCATAATAAGTTGATCTGGGTGACACAGCCTGACACACAACACTGTGGTGTTATCTAGACGGAACTCACGTTTCTGTCCCATCGCGTTGGGCATTGGAGGTCCTTTCTGAGGGTCCCTGTAGGTCTCCTGGTGGTTGGCAGCATAGCTGGCCAGCGGGACCCCTGCCAACACCGAGTCCTCGATCCATTCTGAAACAGCAAGAGGCACATGTTCTCTAGACCGGTCCGGACAGGTGCACAGTTGCCCTACTTGTGCAAGAAGCTGGAGCTAAGGGCTCCGGGACAACACAGCCTACTGTGCTGTGTGTTTGGGGGGAAAAACCCCATTTTGCTTTTTTGTGACACTAGAGGAACTTGTGAAGGACCCATATAATGGCTGGCGTCTTTGATTAATCACCTTGTTACGGCATCACGGCACCAATCAAACTTCCACCTTCATTGATATTCTAAACAGTGTGATAGAGTCAATGCAGAAGTAAAAGGAATTGGGGGAAAACCCCTGCTTGATAGTATTGAGTTTTTCTGAAGAGAGATTGAGCTTTCAGACGTGGAGTGAAATCAGCAGGTAATCGAGTGGAATCGAATGATTTCTGCTGACTGAGCAGAAGGTAGAGCGCGATAGGAGACTTCCCATGTGGGCCGGCCTGCATTTACAATTAATCTCTGTCTGCGGGGCGTCCTGTGAATGCATACGGTTTAAGACAGGAAGCAGGAGCAACCCGAGCTTATCAATTAGCTGCGTTTTGGCAGGTTTGCGAGCTAAAGCACGACTGTTAATACTGGTAGCTCGCACTTAAAGCTAATTAGGAAAGAGGCTCTCTTTAAAAAAAAAAAACAGATCACTTTCAGTTGAAGACAAACTTACCTTTCTTCACCCAAGGAAATAAGCTTTCAAGTTATTAACACAAACAAGTGTCCGAAAGAGACACGGGAAACAGAAATGAACAAAAAGGGGCTGCGTGTTGCAGCCGCAAATAATAGTTATGCCTTTATGGAAGGGCACTTAGCAAATCATAAGGCAGTAGCAGGCGACATCAAGAAATACTGTAGCAGATAGTTGCTAGAAAGACACAGTCTCGCACACACACGCATACAGAGACATATGCAGATCACTCAGTCAGACACATGAATAGAAAGAAAGGAAATGACGCCCTTGGTGGGGGGCTTGTGAACGAACCTCGGATGTAGCGCTCACCTTCGGGTGGCTGCTGGCTTTGGGGCTGAGGCTGCTGAGGCTGCTGCTGCTCCAGCTGCCTGCGCCTCTTAGCCTCCAACATTGGATTCTCATACTGGGTCTTCCTGTTGATGTGACTGTCGGGACGGCGGAAGGAGGGACCAGTGGATGGAGGTTGAGGAATGAGAAATGAAGGACGGGAGGAATGAATAATAGGAAACAGGAAATAGGAATAGAATAGAAAACAGGAATTAAATATCAGCAGGAGAGTGGAGCACAGCAGGGAGGGAAAAAAACAAAAACAGACACAGTGGAGAGGAGAAGGTAAAAGAGGAGAGAGAGAGATCGGGTCAAGAGAGGGAGGGGACACATGGCGATAAAGCTTTCATTAATACACAGTGGAGCAATACACATGCATGCATCCATACTTCATACATACACAGGAACCCCTCTCTGGCACGTGCGTGACACGATCACGCCCACAAATCACGTCAAATAAATCCAATTTTGATTGATTTTGTCTTAATTCACAGAAGCTACCAAACTTCCACACCACACACCCTGGGAGGTTTACCACTAACCTACCAGCACTGAGAAGTTACACCTGAAAGCCTCACATTGTACACCAAATGAAGGAGATGAACAGGAGGAGTACATTGCAGAGACAAAGAGGGGGAAAACATTGAAATGCCACAGTCTCAAAGCCCCCAGGTGCTGCTTTGAACAACATCAAAAACACTTGAAACATATTCGTATTATTGCTGAGGCCCTGAGGCTTTACACAAGATGAGAGATACACACACACACACACACGTCGCATGTTTTCCCAAATGATAGCGACACTAACAAAATGGCCTACATTTTGCAGTACACAAAAGACCAAAATAGCGGCAGCGAAAATCTAGCGCTGACATCTTACTGTAGAACTGTACAAGAATTAGAGCTGCTCCTATTTACAGTAAGGTCAAGAGTTTCTTTTGTTGCAATGAAAACGAGTGAAATTATTTATTTTCAGAAGAAAAAGGCGAGAAGGTCATTTCTTCTCCTTCCTGCGTGTGCAGTGTGTTGGATGCCTTTACATACTGTACGTCACTTACTCAACATAGTAGACCCCGTACACTGGATCGTCTATTTTCTCCCATCCTGGTGGAAGTTCTAAAAAAAACACAAAGAAACAAGACAAATTGTGAGTGAGACAGAGGAAACGATGGAAACTCAAGGCTGTAAAGTTGCTGGGGGCCGTGCATCGAGCCATTAGCGGCAAGGCCAGTCGAGACCTTTTGCCTCTACGTTGCGACTGCCTGTCAGTCAGTCTCCAGGGCCCGAGCGACTCCACAGGTTCACAGGCTGTCTGGCCTCCCCCCTCCCCCTTCATCCTTGTCCCCTCACACTGCTGACATTTCCACACATCAGATAAGAACGGTGCAAGACCCCCTTGGGCGGAGATGAATGGAGGGATGGAGAGGTGAGAGGTGGTGAGAGAAAAAGAGTGGTGGTGAGGTCAGAGAGAGGACGGGAAGAAGGAAGCAAGGAAGGAAAGACAGGTAAAGGTAAGACGGAGGGGGAACGACTCGAGTCTTACAATGTGCAGAGAATTTTTTTTTGCATAATGACATATTACCATACCTTTTCCTCATAATAATCTGATTAATTTCGTATTAATCTGCTGCCTGTATTAGTGAAAACATACCTGTCCTTGGCTAAACACAATGGCAGTGTGGTTGCGGTCTCTCTGTCTGATATCTGCTGTTTGTGTCCTTACACAAGTCACCCCTTGTGGACTAAAACTGCACCAGGACTTGACTGAAAACCTGCTTCATGAGGAGCTGGCACTTTTACAGACTTTCAGAGAAAGTAAAGTAAAGATATGAATGTGACTGGGCCCACTTCAACAGCCCGTAATTGCCCGCTGGTGCCACCTCTCTGTATTTCTGCAGTGTTTGCCAGAGGAAGTGATGCCGTCTAGATTACAGCAGCATTGGTTATTGGCTGGCCTCCACATAGATAACGTCAGAGGCTTCTAATTGGCTACAAACACAGATTGTCCAGTAATACTCTCCTGTGATGTATCCGTTTTACATATCATTACCCTCGGCCAATTAAGCCTCGCCCTGTGTGCAAGTAGATGGTAATTACAATCATAAAACTTGAAGAGCCTCCCTCTGCTTTCTAATGAGGAGGGCCCTTGGTTGGAGTGGAGTCAGCAGCAGATGCAGAAAAAAAAGAAAAAGCCAGATGGGAATGTTTAAATTGTATGCACGTGATGCATACCGCTACAGATTACAGTCTGTTAGACCAGGTAGTCAGCGAAGCGGATTTAGAGCAACCACAGACAAATCTGCATTTAGAGTCGTCAATTTAAACGCTTGCAAGCAAATCGAGTTACTACAATTCCATATTTTCAGCACCTTCTAAAAAAAGGCGGCTAACGCAAAAAGCACATGCAGCAAAAAAAAAAAAAAAAAAAAAAGGAAATGCAAGGTTAAAGCGCCGGTGCAGTCGAACAGGGTGAACCCACAGAGCGGGCATGGTGAATTATCATTCAGATTTCTGAACTGGAACGCTAAATGGAATGCGGTCCCGCATCGCCTCCCGCTAAATTTTAATCACCCACTTGATTTCACACTGCGCTGGTTCCGCTCCTGGAGGAGCACCTGTGACTGTGTGTGTGCATACGAGTGTGAGTGAGTGAGTGAGTGAGAGAGAGTGAGAGAGAGAGAGAGAGGACATTCGGTGCTGCAACCTTCTTAACAGTATGGTGTACACTTCAGTGAGTGTAAACGTAAATGCTCTCACTGTGTCCCCACCTCCGCATGATGGATGACATTTTTAACTATTTGCATCCAACTCTCTTGATACTGTGCTGCAATTGATTTCTCCGGAGTAAGCATGTACTACAGAGGCACTTTGAGTGTGTGTGTGTGTTCATAAAATGATCGAGTCTGCTGCTCCTCCTCAGAGCACTGGAGTTAATTGCGTTCCTCTGCCCACCTGTATTGGATTGTGTTGATCAATAATTATTGAACGAGTTGATCCGGTCGAGGGCTGACGTATGGACTCATCTGATCTGATGGCTATAACATGGCAGCTGTTTAACACATTAACCAATGGGAGCTGCCAATGAGACTGAAGGCCTGTAGATGATTTTTCTTCCCACGCGATGTTGTGTTTGTGTTGCTGTGAGAGCTAATGTGATATTTTTCTGTGGGTTACCCCTTTCACACAACATTTAGTCATCTGACTCAATGTTAATAGAAAAAACATTGATTAATGCAGCTTTAGCAGATGATGAAAAGATATACTTGATTTGAATACATATTTAGGGCTCCTATATAAGTCCCCGGGGCTGATGAAAACATTTCCAATCCCATTTTACAAAATTGAAACTGGTTACAAATCAAGCTAAAAGAAGACGTTTCATTCTTTCACTTGTCAACAGCAATAAACACTACATTTGGCGTTATTCCAAATTCTACAAAAACAAAAGTGAATGAAGTGAAATGTGTGTATTTATCCTTTTCGTCCCTGTATTTCAATGTACTACAATCAGTAATCAGATATCTCCTCTCATGGAATGGCATCATTCATTATCGGTGCCGGGCACGGTCTCCAGACACCATTCATCCTGCACAAGTGTCCGCGCTGCTGTGTCTGATAGGTTAGTTAGTGCGCCGATGGGTCAGACAGACAGCCATTAGAAAAGCATGATTGTAAGATTCTCCCTCGGACTGGCTCTCGGCTCTTATGTATGAAATGACATGTGAATGCGTCCGGTTTGCTGGCGGCATGTGGGCAATTGACAGTTGTGTCCGAGGCCGGATTTCTGATCACACCCGGTGCGTGTTTGATAAAAAGAACCGAAGCCACACACTGAGAATAGACTAGGTAAAGGTCATATCTCCGTCAGCCTGGCATAATGTGTCATCTCTAGATAATTAGAGTCATTGTCATAGTCATCTCTCACCAACAGCAAATGACTCTGTGTGAGCCACTGGTGGCGGCATTTTCATGTCATTATGTAGATGAGCACTATTAAGTGACTCCACTTGCTCAAAATAAATTCAGCTGGACGTTTTTGAGTTGCGACAGTGAATCAGATGTGTGCAAACACCAACGTGACACTGAGAGTGATGGAGTGAGAGTGTAGAAGATCCTACCTAGGTCATTGTCCAGCTCCTCCGTGTGTACCCCTTCTACTCAGCGGGACGGGACCGCACAGCAGCACAGGATCGTTGTGAAATGGAAAGAGAAGAGGGACAGAGAGGGGGGACGGGGTGCACATCTGTGAGTCAGTTTAACAACATCTGAGAGCCGCAGCCTCATGTGACAAAAAAAAATAAATCACAAGGCATGTTTTCCCCAAACGACTGGATCTGTGGGGCATCTTGCTCTGACAAACAGCTGAGAGAAGGAGCAGAGCAGCGCCACCCAATGACTTCTCGCCATTTTCCGTGACCCAACACTGACACCCAAAGGCTGCTGAGGGAACCGCTGCCCTCTGTGATTTTCAGGACAATACACTGAGAAACAGGAAGTGAAAGGTGTTTTCTAACCCAATCTAAATACAGGGTTAGTTAATTGGACACACATGAAAAGGATCTAAAACTAGTGACTTACTTACTGAACAGGTGTCTGTTTCTGATAGTTATTTAATAACAATGAGACAGTATGGGAGAAACCTGTATTTCTACATAAGTCAATGCCTGACGCCCTGTTCATTAGTCTGTGTCATACAATGGGTTTTGTGTTTGAAAGGAGTGTAATGCATACGTAGAGGATTTTACATAAACACAGAATCTCATAGGTAGCTTGTGAACGTACCATCATCTTCACATTCTTCCAAAGGTTTCTGAGGCTTGTCCATGCACCGAGGGTCTATCCAGGAGGTGGTCTTTGTGTTGTGGCTAAACGGGAAATACACGCAAATAAAAGGGCCGTAATGTGTTAGAAATAATGGAAAATGTCCTCATGTCCTCACATCTGGTATGTAGCAATAAGGGCCTCTAAGATGTTGTATAAAGTGCATATTTCTAGATGAAGATTTGCTGGTTTATTGTGAACTAACTTGTTAATGACGTTAATATTAAGACAACAGGACTGAAAATTAGAGCCTTCATAACAATTTAGCACAAATAACGGCAAAAAGAAAACAAAGAACTCTCCTGTGATCTCTTACAGAAAAAAGCTCTTCCACAATTTACTTTAACAACAGACTGCAGAGAATTAGAGTCTTGAATAAATCAGTGAACCTGGACTATGCTTTAAGAGTATAGTTAACAGAATCTTACACAGTCACAGTACTATACCAGACTTGGCTCTTTATACTCTGTATTTAGGATGTTTTAGGATCTAGGTCTAATGAGTAATAACAAAAAATAGCAAAAAGGAACCGCTATAAAATGTACCTGTGATACATTTTCTTCCCAAAGTTCTACCGTGCAGACTTAATTTCCCAGTTTCTTATTCAAATCTACGTATTTGCCTTAGAGTATAGTGGCTGCATGTGAATAACATGCTGAAGAAATTAGCAGTGGTCTGGAGTTATTCTCCATTATATTGTTTGTGATGTAGGACTTTCATGTCTTTTAAAAGTCCCCACTTTCTAAAGCTTTTAATTAATGTCCACAACAACATATATGACAATAAGCAGAAACATGGATCTACAACTACAAAGTGAGTACGTAACTGTATGAAAGCCTTGTTTCTATACTTGACGTCGGAGTAAAAAGTGGAACTTTGCCTCGAGTTAACTTACTCTATGAAGTAGACCTCTCCGTTCTCGGTGTAGGCCATCTCCCAATTGTCGGGCAGCGTTCCCAGAGGATCCTCCGGGGGAGGATGGCTCAGGTGAGAGTGTGACTGCTGAGTGCTCTCCGTGGTGGCCGATGGTGAGGGGGTTCTCCCAATGTAGGGCGGGTCACTCTTGCGGGGGGCGAAGGGGCGCACTGAGTGAGGAATCTCGTCTAATTCACTAGAATCTCCTGCGGAATTTAAGGCAAACGTGACCGTTTTGGTTAAAAGGATGCTGAAACACTTACACGTTCAAAAAGTAGCAGTGGAAACAATTTGGGTTCCACAAAAGCGGCCTCAAAACCCCAAGATGTCAACTAAAAATGGTTTTCGGAGAAACGATTGTATGAAAAATCTCATTTACCTGTGCAGTGAAGAGTTAATTCCAAAAGATAGTAGTAGTTGAGTTTTTAGAAAGCTTCATCTAGCCACTATCTAGCCTCGGTCCAAGGACTTTCCAAAGCATTCAGATAGTTTTTTAACCTAAAATCACTGTGTTACACTCACGGCTGTAGAGACATTTATTTCAGTTAAAAACTGCCGAGTGGGCAGTTCACACCTACAACCACGGCGTCTGAAGTGCTAGCACCTAATTTCCTGTTATCTCATTTTCACACTCACACTAGACTGGCCCCCTCGTAGCTAACACAAGCACAGGCGGCAGATAAACAACTTTTGGTCCCACCTTCTCAAAACACATGGCAGAAGCAGCTTTATGGCTGAGTCAACCTCCATACAATGCCATACTGACCTACTAACACACAAGAGGAGGTATCCAAACATGGGCGAATATTAATACTCAAAAACAATTAGAGGACCTTTAAATAAAAATAAAAAAACAGCAGTGATGTCAGCATCGTGCTACCAAACATTTTTAAATTCATCTCATAAAATCTCCCTCTAATTCACAAACACCAGTGACCTACCAAGTACTAACGGGATCATTAAGCCTGGTTACAAAAATGGAGGTTGCTCAGTAATCCACCCTCTGCTGCTTGCAGCCAGATGGCACTATTTTACATTTTTTGACGCATAGATACAGGCAGATGTAGTCAAACCCAGAGACCACTTACTTACCAATCAAAGAAGCTGTTGTGTTCTGCTGCCTCTCACTACACCAAAGTGCTCTCTCTACCTCCTTTGTGCTCTTTCTCCTACTTCTTCATGTTTATGAGCTTATCCTCCTTCACTAAATGCAATCCTCCCTTGCCTCTCTTCCTTTCTCCATCCAATCCCTTTTCAGACTTGCCCACTTTGCTTTTTCCCGGCCACTCCCTCTTTTCTATTTAATTTCCTGCTGCCTTTTCTCCACTTGCATTGCCTCCCACTTCATCCATCACAACTAAATATTCAGTTTGTCTCTGCTTACAAACCGAGCTGCAGAAAACCGGTTTCGCATTCCGGTGTTATACTCCAGAACAAACAGAACACAGCATGTTCTCAGGCTGCTGTTGAGGACGGCTCTGCAAGCAACTGCCTGTGTACTCACTGACTTCAGGTCTGTTTGTTTTAAAGGTGTCGACACCAGCTGAAGAAGCATGTGAGTCATGGTGTAAGTTCTGCAAAAACATACAACTACAGCTAGAAAAGGACAGTAAACCAACAACAAATTGTGAAAAGGTAGAAAAACCTGTGAGAAACTAGCTCGCCTGTATACACTGTGTGCCGATGCCAAATGTGGCACTTCATATTGGCTGTTGCCTGTGCGATGCTGCACAAATTTGATTTAATGTGGACTATGGTTCCAGCATAGTTCCATTCTGGTATTTTGTAGCCAAATAAATGAAAATTGTGCCGAAATCCATTAAAGGCAGGCTGTTGTTTACACCTGGCTTCAGAATGTGTTTCAAATGTGCCTTGAGTGACACGTTATTGGATTTCATCTCCATGCTTTCAGAGTGGAGCTGCTCAACAAAAGAGAAAAATGCACATCTGTGCTCAACTAAACAGCCAGAGAGAAAAAAAAAAAAGGACTGTGCAGGCTGCTCAGTAGCCCAGTTGAACAATCGACTCAAACGACTGTAAAGTGAATGCTAACATTCACTTTGCATTTCAATGATGCGCGGTCTGTCCTAAATAGTTTTGGGTGTGGTGGGTTGCTTTCATCATCAATTCACCCATCAAATATTGCCTGATTAAATCAGCTGTTTAGTCGGTCTTAACAGTCTTTTGTGATGTCTCCAAATTCCTTGTTTTGTCAACTATACAAAAACCCATTTACGTAAAGGCTTATTCCAGCTGTTTAGTATTTCATCTGCTCAAAATTGGGGGGACCTGAAGCACAACGGTGAGAGATATCCTGACATGAGTCCTTATCATGGATCAAAACAATGGATCCTACATTTCCCATGATGCAACGGGATGATATATATATATCATTAGACCCTACCTGACTGCTAAACGTCCAATTCCCTCAAACTTTGAAGGTTGTAAATTAAACCCCTGATGACATCATCACAGTTATTTTCTCAAGCATGACAAAAGCTACACATACCTGTAAAGCTACTGTTCATGTCAGGGAGGTCCTCGTCGTCCTCCTGCGGCTCTCCAGGCACTAGTCCAGCATTGTGCATGTCATTGTAGGACTTGCTGCGTCGGGGAGTGGAGTGCTGCGAGCCCGGCAGGCTACCGCTGAGCCCGTCTGGCAGTGGGGCATCACCGCCGCTACCGCTACTGTTAATTACTTTCCCACTGGGGGGCTGCACCGGTGGCTTGGGCGTCCCATAATAGTTTCCTAGGCAACAAGAGGAGGAGGCAGGGATTTAAAAAAAAAAAGAGACAGAGAAAAGAAGGGTATGTTAGTAGGAGGGGTTAAAGGGTTGTGAGTGTGGCTTTAGTTAAAGCCGTTGTATGCAAATGGTGACACTGGGTTTCTGTGGGAGAATGTGAATCTCTGAAGCAAAGCTAAACTTTTCTTGTTTGAGCCAAATAAAGTTCACAAACTAGAGAATGTTTTACTCAAATGGTGTTCCTCAAACAATATTACATCATTTGTCCACTGTTAGAACTCAAGTAAGTTGATATTTTGTGAGTCAGAGTTGACACCAAGAAATGTTTTGCATTTGGATACACAAGTACAGTGGTAGTTTTCTTCCCAATAGTTCATTTCTGAAGACATTTAGTGCAGCAGTTTGCAGCCAAATTGTTTTCCAGTGCCAGAACAACATTTCAGCTAAACCGACGAGAGGATAAAACATGCAGAGCTGATTTCTTTGTCATTTTAATCCAAAGTTAGAGCAGGCAGACTTAAGGAGAAGGTACCATCCGAAAACCAGAATATAAAGCCAAATCTTAATGCGACAGCAGCGTCCAAAACATAAAGGCAATGGAAAAATAAATCTTCTCGTCCAGGCGGCAAAGTTACAGTCAAAAGATAAAATTGGCAAACTACAACTTAAATGGAGAATAAACTTTTTTTTCACAGCAGACATCTTGGCAGGTCTTAGCAGGAAGAGCACATGGGTAATTGATAACAACAATAATTAATACCAACTCGGCCATTAAAAAGCTTTATTAACAGTTTTCAAAATAGCTTTTCTATGATAAAACCTGTCCAAACATTTAAAGTGCCAACAAACATGTTATTATTGTATTTCTGGACCAAAACACAAGATAATGTGACTGTTGAAGATGGTCAATATGCTTGTATACAGTTAGTAAAACCATGGTGAGGCATGGTGATGGAATTACTAATATTGGATGTTTTTGCACGTCTGTACTTTCACACAACACAGTTTATACCACACAGACTTGAACTGAAAGCTGGTTTGATTTATTCAGTCATATTCTTTAGTCAGATCCTCATCTGGGGGCGACCGTGGCTCACTGGGTTAAGAGGGTTATCTGGGAACCGGAAGGTCAACGGTTTGATCCTCAACTGGGATGTGTCACGTGTCGAAGTGTACCTGATACACTGAACCCCCGGGGCGCCTGTCATTGGCAGCCCACTGCTCCCTATATACAGGGATGGGTCAAATGCAGAGACAAATTTCCCCCTTAAAGGGATCAATATAGTATAATAAATTTAAAAAAATAAATAAACAACATTTTGTCATCTCACAAATTGTATTAAATTGAGTACTAATTGACTAAACCATGTTTTTACTGACTATAAACAGCCACGCAGTCACAAGTCAAAGCTGCTTTTGAATTTGAATTGTGAGTCTTGCTTGTTTAAAGTATGTCGAAGCCTTTCAAGTGACAGAGCAGATGGCTGAAAGCTCCTGATTTCCTCCATACGGTCATCAGTGAGTGAGCAAGTTGCCAGTCAGAAGTTTGCCTAGTTTGCTTCTCCTGGCTTGGCGTCAGAGGGAAATCCATTGTTATGGAACAGTGAACCAGCTAAGTGGACACAGCAGACACTTAATTAAACATCATCTGACTGAATGGAGATGATACACGGTAGTGTTGTTGTTTACGGTCCTTCCAGTGTGTCGGTAGTTTATCAGCAAAGTGTTGTGTGCTACATGCGACACGTACTTTGTGCCAACGAGTCATCGCCACTGAATTTATCGGCTTTGTTGTCAATGGCAGGTGACAACATAAAATGGACTTCCTGATAAAATGGACGTTTCTTAGCTTCCTTCTTTTTTCGGAAATGGAAAATGCATTCCTTTAGATGCAACAGTTTATCCTGCTGTAGCATCTAAACAAACGCATTTTCAATGGTGGCATCTTGTTTGATCATTTTGCCTTGATTTGAATGTCTAATGTTCATCAGGAACAAACTGTGAGTACAGTTTGTGCACTGTATATAAACTAAAGGCTGATCTCTGCACTGGGAAAGGATTATTGAAAGCGTCTAAGACTAGATAACCCACACATGACGACTAGTTCCACTAACATTTTGTTTAAAGTTTTGCCAGCTAGAAAGGAGCAATAACTGATAACAGGTAGGATGTGATTACAGTAATGTCGCAAGGCAACTGTCAATCACTTATTAGACTGAAAGACCCGTGATCTGACCTAAAAGGCTTATGTGTGTCTGTGTCAGTGCCCAAAACACTAACACTGGCCCAGTACCTCTCTATATATCCAACACCCACCACATACATTTTTCATGAACTTCTTTTTTGTGATGTTGCTTTCATGAAAGACAAAGCATGTCAAGATTTTGACAGCAACCTTTTTAACTCTCCCATCAACTTCTTCTCGTCTACTTTTACTTTAGCCGGAGCGCTCCAGTGTGTCCGAGAGCTACTTTCAACAACCCCCCCCCCCCCAGAGAACGGAGGTAAACAGGTTGCTGAGGGCTGCCTGACCTACATTTGTGTTGGACACAGCGATGGCGATAGCGGCGCATACCAAACAAGCGAGGGTATTAGAATTTGGCCATTTGAGAAAACAAATCTTGTAAAAACACAACGCATCTTCCCGCTGCAATGCAAACTACGACGTACTGAGGAGACTCTCTGTTCATCTGTCGTTCTGCAATGGATTTATTTTTGATGTATGGATGATGGTCAACGCAAACAGAATCTAAAGTGAAGAATGTTCTCTCCGACTCAAGGGGACTGACAACATCACTTGACATGTTTTGAGCGCCGGCTGGAGGCAGAGAGGAGACATGGTTCCCTCCTGCTGGGCCAGCAGGTGCACCTGTCTAGAAGCAGGCTGATTGGCCCGGACAGGGACACAACGCGCCCGCTTGCTGACGATGTACCGTGGGTGAGCGAGTTTAAGCACTGGCCGGAGGTACAGAGGGACTTGGTTATTTTCTGCCACGCAAGCTGGCACATCTGTGTAAAGTCAGGTTCAATGCTGTTCGACTACTTAAGCTCGTTCACTTATTGACACACGGAGAGAAGACGAGTGAAACTTGTGTCTGAGAACTCTGAGCCTCGTTTTAAAAGGCCATTGATGTTTGCTGCTGATGTTCTAGATATCTGAAAGCCAACATAACGTTACATACAATACGTCCGACCAAATGTGCGATTTCCTGATTTACCGTCATACGTTCCTATCTCCAACAGGGTCCCACTCTTCTCCAACTCCAGGAAGTCCTCCACTGGAAGGAAGTTGTAGTCCACGCCAGAAACTTCTCCGTCACGGGGGGTGCGGGTTGTACCTGGACAGCCAATCAGAGACAGAGTGAGAGTTAGCAGACTAGAAAGAATAACAAGGAATAAAAAGGTGCAGATTTCAGTGGCAGCTGGTGTGCAATAATTCACTGGAAGCATTGCTTTCATCTTGGTATTCACTCCACTTCTTGTACTAACAGAAAAGCCATATTCTTCAAGACGTTAGCATCTGAAAACTGGTTTAGCTGCCGTTTATTCTAACTACACTTTCCAAATTTCCTGGATTTAAGGTAAATGAGACAGAGGGGTATACATGGTCTGGGAGAGTTTCAATGCCACATAATGAGCAATTGTACTACTGGTAGATAAAAATCACATACAACGTGACAGCAGTCTCCATTGTTTGCTGTGATCTTCCTTCACACTGGGGTAGAGTGTGAGGTATCGTAGTAGCACCTCAGTGGGATCCTGCCATATGGGAGGGGAAATGGGAGTGTGTGTGAATATGTATGTGTGTGTGTGTGGTTTGGCATGTAGCCTGTGTGATTCTAGCACTTTGTCTTTAATGACTGTGGACAGTTGGCCAGTGCGGCGTCGATAGTAAACAGCTGAGATAATAGTGAGATGCCAATTTGACTGATGATAAAAGGCCGTCTTTCTTATTGTTTTAAACATTCGGATTTCTTTGCTCCATTCAATCACGCAATCTTTGCCTCACTAGTGCACATTTCCTGCTTGTGTGTCTCACTCTCTACTGCATTTATTGTTTCCTACCACAAAAAAGAAAATATTTCCATCAGTGCTGGAAAAATGGAATAAATATAAGCATAAATAATCTTTCTCATCTTTGTTCTGACAGACAACAGAGGGCTTTCCCTCTCTTGATCTATCCTGTCGTGTCTCCATTGGGCTGGTAGGCTATAAGCCGGTAAAAATAGATGTGTGGGGATAAGGGGAGAGGCTCCCACTGCAGCCACGCTCAGTGACACTGGTGATAAATCACAGATCGGTACCCAAACAAGCGTACATGTAGGATACACTCACACAAGCATACGATACATGTACAAAAGGCATCTGGAGACACAAAATCACTCTATTCTTTTAATGTTATCTCTGTTATAAGCTACTGTATGGGCACACACAAGGAGCGCTTCCAGTTCATCACTAGCAACAATACTTTGGCGCCCTCAAACTTCCAAACTTTGGGGCCAGACACTCGTGCAGCAAGAGGAAAATTGATCGAAAGTCAAACAAATCCCATCTGAAGTCTGTCAAACCAATAAGTCGGTCCGCTCATTCCCAGGCACCGAGTCTTTTTACACAACGTCAACCTTGGAGAGTCCTCAGCCGAGGCCGAGCCTTCAGCCGACTGTCAGTTCACTTCCCACACAAAAGTGGCCATTGATTGGACTCCATTTAGACACTGCTGCTCTTAGAAAACCAAGTAGGAAGCGGAATTGTGACCAGTGTTTCAAAAGGGATGGAAAAGCAGAGCCTTGGCTCAGACCCAGGGGTGAGACACTATCATCGCTATAGGCCTAATTCATTCAATACGCCCCCCCCCCCCCCCCCCCCCCCCCCCCCCCCCCCCCCCCACACGCACACACACCCCGAAAGCTCCATTGACCAAGCTGTGAAGTAGAGTAAGAAGGAAAGAGCCCCCTGCTTAGAGTTGGGACTGGAGGAGCCAAAAGACAACTAAAATGCAGAGGAAGCGAGAGAAGGAGTGAGACTACCAAAGATAAGAGTTAGCATAATCCAGCTACTGGCACACACACAATGAAGCCTTGAGGATTTGCTGTGAGGGTGTTCGTCTAGTGCTGGCTGTCTCATGGCTTAACGGCTGTAACATCTTCTCTGGCTGAGATGGCTGGGTGGGCGTTAAAAAAAAAAAAAAAAAAAAGAACTCATCATTAGCAATTCAAGAAAATGATCAAGGAAACAAGGGTTGAGATATTGACAGTGGTACTGTAGCGCATGGAGCTCAGAGACACCGCTGCTGCATCGAAATACACACAAGCATGCCCCCCCCACAAAAAAAAATCTGAAGAAGAGTAGCCTGTTACTGTATAATGCACAACAATAAATGTTCCAGGACTGTATGTGCTTCAAAAAAACAACAAAGGTAAGAAGAAGCAAAGTAATTTCACTGTCATGCCACTGGGTCTCTGCTGTTGCTAGGGACAACCCAGGAAGGATGGGGGGGAAGAGAGAGAGAGAGAGAGAGAGAGAGAGAGAGAGAGAGAGAGAGAG